GGACTATTGTGTCTGTATTGTTTGTATGTATTGTTGAAGGTCATAATTCGTGCCAAAGGTGTCCAATTCGAACAAATCTAAACTTATTCTAAAGTTTCATGCTATTTCCGACATTTTTTGCTTTCATTCAATAAAATTAAAAAAAACCAAGTGTAAAAATTATGACTTTTGACTTTGTTGCAGTTTTTTTATCTCACCCTGTATATACTTAATGAACGTAAAATTTAATGTCCATTTAGCCACGCCCGCGTGTATATCTGTCCCTCTCGCTCGCACTACAAAATATATAGCTATGAATTGTTTACGGGCAATTAGCTTATTCCCAAAATAGTTTAACTTCTCGCAAAACATAATCAATGTAGGTGGACATTTTTATACCGTTCGAAGATAAAGGAACTGTCCCAATAAATTAGGTGTAGTTTTTTGAGTCACCGATAAATATCGGTAAATTTCAAACGCAAAATTTTGATAAAAAAATAAAAGTTAACAACATTGGTATATATGAGTAGGTCTTAGCGACTACTTTCATTTCGTCGCTAACCTACCGAAAAATTTCATTAATTACCGAAATTATAAGCATTTCAATTTTACCAAATTTCTTTCGGTAACTCAGAAAATGAATTACAGAATTCCACTACAGGTGAAATTTTTTGTCCGACGAATCATATGTTTGGCCCAAGGACGAACATTATTGAAATTGATGAGAATTGGTCCAAATTAAGATATAGACCCCATATATATTTCGTCCGTATTTAATTTTATTGTGCGCCATATGTTTAATATTCGTTCAAATAGAAATTCAGACCAGAAGCAAGTTCCTCAAATTTGGTAAAAATCAGTTAGGATATTGCTACAGCTCCCATATATATGTTTTATCCGATTTGGTATTTAAATTCCTCTCTTTCATAATATGCTCCCTACAACAATGATATAAGATATAGCTTAGAAATTCCTCTTCATTTCTTCATTTCATTTCCAATAAAAACGTTTATTTGCTACGGGTAGCTCTACTAAATATGCATAGTGGAGTTGGGTATCTTATAGTATGTTCCGCCCTGGTTTTTGCCTTTTTTCGAATTCGACAGCTTCAATTATTTTGGTACCCTCCGAATTTTAGTGTTTTGAAAGTTCTACAACAGAATTGATAGATCAACGATATCTTTTAATTGTCGAATAAACGTTAGCTCTCTCTTAAACAGTCGGTCTAAAAAGTGTGACTGCTACAGCAGGCTAGTAAAACTATATAACCAATCGCTTTGTCATTATCTTCTTCGCGTATCCATACATTTTTTTCTCTTCTCTATAACAAAATGACAGTGCATTAAAACTATGCCTCAAAAATACATCCGTAAACTTATTGTTACAGCACTTTGGGTCCTTAAGGTTTTGCCTTTTCTCTAATGGTCCGTTCTGACAATATTCCTATCGAATTCGTGCTTTCTAACTACTTCTGCATTCCTTAATAAATAATCCAGAAAACCAAGAAAAATCTTAACAATCTGCCGGTTATTGAAATTGTTTCCCAAAGAAACCTAAAAGTAACAATCAAAGTTATTAAAAATAAGTCTTCATAAATACCCATAAAAAATTATACCACCGATACTTCCTTAAAAAAATGCATTGCAATTTCGCACAAATTGCCTTTCAAATATTTCTCTTGCAACTGGTGCCTCGTATCGTTAGAACATACCCCACAACAAAATCTAATTAGAAATCAATTAAATGTGTGCTGCGAACAGCAAGTATTTTTATCTATATGTTATGCATGCGCTTATCTCTAGCATTTCCTGAATTCACCCATACGTGTGATAAGATTATACCGTCTAGGCAAATTAAATTCATATTATGAAAACAAAAATATTTGTATACGGAATACTTACTGTCCTTCTTTGAAATATTCTTTTAGTGTTGTACTGAACTTTTTTGAATATTTCACAAATTCCTTTTTACGCTGTTCGACAGCTTGTTTGCCAGTCACACCGGGTATAAAATTTCCAATTTCATTGACAACATCCAGTAGTTTTTTGATGGCGCTGGCAATTTCTCTGAAAATAAGCGGAAACAAAATTATTTAGAATAAAACAATAAATAAAGTTATCATTCGTTTTTAGGTATGCCCACTCTATGCTTGACATAAGCTGGAGTTAATCTAGTTAATTTAATATGCTGAATTCATGGTTCAAAAAAGAACAATAATATAACTTGCTCTATGTGGAGAACTTCTGTTGATTATTTTGTGCCCCAAAAAAGTAAAAAATTGGTTTCTAAAAGTAATTCTGCTTTCTTTCAAATTTAAAGAAAGGCGTTTAATGACCTTCTTCCTAGAGAATCAGAAAAACTTTTTGTATAAGATATTATTTAGGGAACTTGAATATTTCCCAAAATATATAGCTTTGTTATGCCTAACATAAAATGGAATTTACCCACATTAGTTTTACATACAACCCTACTGACTGACAAACCAAGGCTACTTATCCATTCTAATAACGAAGAGCTCAATTTAAGCAACTGGTTTTCTAATATGGCATCTTTCTTTAATAAAATAGAAGTCGTAAGAACCATTTTGATAATCGCCATTTCAGTCAATGAAACAAACAATCTAAAACAATTTGTACTACATTGTAGACTTGATTTCGAAGAAAAAAAAATTGTGTTTAAAATGACACATGACTTTTTAAAGCAGTTCTTCTAGGAACCAAAAATTATCCCCATTATGGGAGAAAAGAGCATGCTTTATTGTGACACTCCTCTCAAAATAGTCTGTTGAACTATCTTCCGTTACAACCATACCAACTTTGAGGAGTCCTACCCACTAGACAGCCAACCACAACTTACTTTATAGTTTCCAAAAATGTTTTTCTGTCTTGGATTTCATCTGGGATACGGCTTAAGATCACTTTAAGTGCCACTGATTTGCGATTTAATTCCTGGAATGGTTCTTCAGTACGAGTTAAACGATATTCATTTACTGCAATAAAAAATACAACAACATTACAGACATTGTTTCAAGGAGAGCCATCCAATTACATTTCTTACAATCGGTTTCTGGTAGATTTCCCTGTAATCTCAGTACACATTCATTCAGATTTACATTCAGTTCTGCCCTTCGGACAATGGCCATAATAAAATCATAACAAAATCCTGGATTATTTTGTTCTGTTTTTAGAATTGATGAGCGTAGTGACTGGGCAGCTCCCACATCACGCCGTTCCAACTGCAATGCAAATGAAAACAAAAACAAACATAAATATTATATTATGCAAATTAGATCAATTGAATATGAAACCCTACTGTTGGCACTGTTGTTGAATCTTTATGTGACTGCACTTTCATTCCAACTCACCTGTGCCAATATAGGTCTCAATATTACGGGCAAAACAAGAGCTGGTGTTGGCATTTCACCCATATTGCTGCTGCTGATATTGGTGTTATGGTTTAAATATGATTTATTTGGTATTTGCATAGAATGTTTGAACAAAATCTGAAGGGAAATTGAATTGTTTTCGAACACGGAAGAACTACCAAAGGAAAAAAAAAATATTTTCACACAGAAATAAAAACCATACAAAAAACAGGTATCAGTTCAAGGTGAATTAGCTTAATTTAAGAAGAAGCACATATGACAGGGAACTTACATCAGTGTGAGTAGCTTAAAACGGATGTGTTTAGTTGACACTGGACTAAATAAAAATAGGGTGATTCAGAAAATTAAAAAAAATATTTGACGGAAACCGGATATTAATTTGCTTTATTTCATGATTTTTGGAAAAAAGAAATATAGACAATAAATTGAAAAAAAAAACAGTTTATTCCCTTCTGTTATTGAATGTATTGTAAAATATACACATCCAAGCAATAACCTAATAAAAATTTAAGAACTTTCAAGTTGTTACTGCCTAAATTTTCATAGTATAGGTTTATAAGCTTGATCAGCTGAATTTCAAACTTCTTTGTGGCCGTAACGAACATTTTGATCATTTTAAACTGTATATAAAATATTTTTCTCATATTGCAACATTGTGGAAGGTAAATCACAGGCGTTCTTTGTGAGCACTTTACCCCCTCAAAAAGAAGTGTCTATATAGGTCCACGATATCGTATAGCCCCCATATAACGGTAAACCCGATATTCGGTATTTTGATGATTTTAGCCACATTTTTTTTCAATGGAATTGTATAAAATTCAACACAAGGAGTTCTTTGTAAGTACTTTACCCCAGGCATATATTTGTATACATTTATATCCCCCAATATATTGGCATCTTCCGATATCCGGAATTTTTAAGATTTTCACAGAATTTTTAATGGATTTTATTTTTTGAAAATTTTCTAATTCATTCCAGATGGTGGAGGATATTCCAAATTTGGCCCGGCCGAACTTACTGCTTTTTTACTTGTTTGTTCAAAAATTCCGCGCTCTTTTAGTGAATGTGTTCAGTTTTCCTTATGCCTCATTCGTAAACAAAAGATGTCCCTCGGGTTATGCATTACACTCATTCGTCTCATTCGTAAACAAAAGATGTCCCTCGGGGATTTAGCTTTCTGTTTATTTTTTTATCAAGTATTCCTTTTTGGCCTTTATATTCGTTTCGTTGGGGACGACTTTGATTTTGGTCTTCCACACGCGCATTCGCTCTGTTCTGCAACAAGACAACAGGACAGAAGTGCGCGCGCTTTAGAGGCACAACTCAACCACAATAACAACCAACTAATCTCACATTAAACGGCTGTTAAAGAACCTGCAAGAATCTCCTATTTAAATTTTTTTTTCGATATCATAAAGGGAAAATCGGTTATCATAGTAAAAACGTTTACATTCTTGCAGTTCTGGAACAGGCCGTGAGTTGAACAGGACACTACAGTTGAACAGGAATTTGAAATCGACTATAAATAGTCGAGTACTCGGTTTTCACCCAAGTCCATAGTCGAGTTCTAGTTTCAGAACTTTGAGTACTCGAAGTCGATTATTCAATTAATCGGAAGTCGACTTACCTATCCCTAGTTTGTGAAGAGTGACTTATTTTTTGTAAACACAAATTGTCAGAATTTAATTGAATTTATATTTATGGTCTGGCAATGTTAATTGCTTCTCCAAATAAATAAAAACAACACCAACAACAAATCGGCGAGAAGCAGAGTAGAGTTCAGGTTAATGGAATTTGTTTGCAATTGAGCAACAAAAATTGCAAAAAATATATTGTTTTTATTTTGCCGAAGCTTTGATGTTAATGATCGCCGAAAAGCCAGAGAAAGGAAGAAGGCTAATTAGCTCCAGGAAAACAGCGAAATAAATGCATTACGTTATTGTAGATTAAAAAAAACTTCGAGAATAAAATGTTAAAGGTAATGCATCGATTGCATTCTAGCTTTTGTATTATGTGCTAATTTTTTGCTGTTCTTTTTCATAATGCCGTCGTTCGCTTTGTGTGATGTGCTGGTGTGTTTGTGTGTGCGGCTGCCGCGTCTAGGGTAAAGGACAGCGTTCCTTTGAGGAAGTATGGCCAGATATGCGAATAATTGTTCTCAAACTGCTAAAACAGGAAACCGTTTCACAAGTTGAATGGCAAGATTTGTTTTATGGAGTCCATTTGGTGTGCTTGTGGGATGAGAAAGGTGCTGCAAAAATTTACGATTGCCTACGTAACGATGTTGTGGAATTTATAGCCCATGCCCAGCTTAAGGTCCAGTCTCAGAGGGGTGAACATGCTCTGCTCACAACCTATATCATTGAATGGCGCAAATTCTTTACTCAATCCAGTTACCTGCCTCTACCATTTCGCCAGTTGGAACATGTGTTTCAATCCAAAACATCATCTTCGTCGTCCGGTTGTTCTGCTTCAACTTCCGCCTCAAGTTCCTCAACGTCTGCTGCATCGACTTCGGCAGCAGCTGCTGCTGCCGGCACTTCCTCTGCAACAGCGTCTTCATCATCGTCAGGCTCCAAAAAGAATCCCACCGAAGACAGCATTGTGCGCAAACTAATGCTAGATTCTTGGAATGAACACATATTTAAGGATATCAAGGATCGCCTGCAAGAATCGGCAATGAAAATAGTGCATGCCGAACGCAATGGCGATGCCTACGATGCCCAACTGGTAATTGGTGTTAGAGAAAGCTATGTTAATCTGTGTTCCAATCCAGAAGATAAATTGCAAATCTATAGAGAAAACTTTGAAGCTGCTTATTTAAAAGCAACAACTGCCTTCTATCGCTTAAAAGCCACTGAACAACAACAAGCTAACGGTGTTTTGGCCTTTATGAAATATGCCGATGCAAAATTGCGCGAAGAAGAAGCTCGAGCTAAGCGGTACTTGGAACCTAGTAGTTATGCGGTTTTGGCACAGACCTGTGTTAAAGTTCTCGTCGGCGATCACATGAATACGATTATTGCAGAATGTGCGCCCCTCATTAAGGAATATGAAACAGATCGTTTGAACTTAATGTTCCGTCTACTGGATCGTGTTCCCAATGGTGTTGATCCTATGCTACGTGATTTGGAGAATCATATTGTTTCTGCCGGTCTTGCCGATATGCTATCGGCATCGGAAATTATTACTCAAGACTCTGAGAAATATGTTGAACGTCTGTTGGAATTGTTTAAGAAATTCAGTGCTCTCGTTAAGAATGCCTTCAACGATGACCCACGTTTCCTAACTGCCCGCGATAAGGCATTTAAGACGGTGGTCAATGATACGAGTGTCTTTAAATTGGAATTGCCAACTGGTATACAAAATCGTGGAGTTAAATATACGGCACCGGAAAGTAAATGTCCTGAATTGTTGGCCAACTACTGTGACATGTTGTTGCGTCGGACACCGTTAAGCAAACGCTTGACTAGCGAACAAATTGATGCACGTCTCAGGGATGTTTTATTGGTATTGAAATATGTTAACAATAAGGATGTATTCATGCGTTATCATAAGGTTCATCTAACAAGAAGGTGAGTGAAAGTTCAACGTTGGTTTTAGAAATTTTGAATTAGAAAATTAAGAATACAAAGAAACGTTGGAGCACTTGTGAATTTCGGCATACGAAGAGTAGGCCTTCCAAAAGGGATGCGATTTTTTCCTCATGTTTTTTTTTATTATTATCGATTAAGGCATATTCCATTCTTTATTTTATTCTAATTGCTTATCAGTGCTGCTTACTTATATGTGTATGTACAATTACAAACAACAGCCTTAAGCCGTTCAATTGAGCTATCTGCTAAGAATTGAGTATGTCTACAAGGAACTACAAGAATAGCGTCATAATTGTATTTTTCCATTTTTTTAAGAAAATATGATACAGAGTAATATTATTTTCATTCTCAAATACTTAAAAAAGTTATTTTAGATCAAATTTTGCATTGGAATTAAGACCATATAATTGTGTAATTTTGTAAACAATTAATTAATTTCTTTTTTTAGACTCATATTGGGTACTAGTGCTGATAGTGAAAAGGAAGAAGACATTGTTGAATGGTTGCGTGAAGTTGGTATGCCCGCTGACTATGTGAATCGTTTGGCACGTATGTTCCAAGACATTAAAGTAAGTTTGTAAAAATGTTCTATCTGAACGGTATTTTAGACTGAATCTCCTTGTTCCCATTGCAGGTTAGTGAAGACTTAAATACACAATTTCGAAATTCCACTGGCCGTCATGATGCCATTAATATAAAGATTTTAAATGCTGGTGCTTGGGCACGTTGCTCAGAGCGTGTTTCAGTAAGTTTACCCCTCGAACTGGAAGACTATATTCCCGATGTTGAAGAATTCTATAAGAAAAAACATTCCGGCCGCAAATTGCAATGGTATCATCACATGAGCAATGGCACAATAACATTTGTCAACAATTTTGGTCGTTATGATCTAGATGTGACAACTTTCCAAATGGCCGTACTCTTTGCTTGGAATCAAAGACAACACGATAAAATTTCATATGAAAATTTAAGATTAGCCACTGAATTGCCAGGTATGAGAAAATTGAATTTTCTGAAATTACAACTAATGTCTTAATCTCCGGATTTTTGCACAGATCCCGAGCTAAGGCGTACACTATGGTCCTTGGTCGCATTTCCCAAATTGAAAAAGCAAATTTTGTTAATGGAACCCAATTGCCCATCACCTAAGGATTTCACAGAGAATACCTTGTTTTATGTTAATCAAGAATTTGCTGTTGTTAAGAATGGCAAATCCCAACGTAGGGGCAAGGTAAATCATACAATGTTATATAAATTCATATTGCTGTAATTGGTTTATTTCCTTTTCTAGTTGAATTTAATTGGCCGTTTGCAATTGAGTACTGAACGTTCGATACAAGAAGACAATCAATCAATTGTTCAATTGCGTATTTTACGTGTACAGGAGGCAATCATAAAAATTATGAAAATGCGTAAACGTATGAATAATGCCACACTACAGGTATGGATAACAAAAATGAAGAGGCGAAATTTCAAAATAAAATGACTTATGATTTCCCTTTTTACCTTTGCCTGGACTAATATCGACTCTCTTTTTTATTTACAGGCCGAATTAATTGATATTTTAAAAAATATGTTTTTACCCTCGAAGAAAATGATTAAAGAGCAATTGGAATGGCTTATCGAACATAAATATATGCGGCGTGATGATGATGATATCAACACTTTTATATATATGGCATAAGTTTACATACACTTGGTTTTTTACACTGTCACATACACATACATGAAGTATATGCTACCTAAATTATATACATAGGAAGAATGGGAATATTTTTATTAGTTATGCTCGAAAAAAAGAAAACAATAATTTTGATTTGCTTCAACTTACAGGAACTCTTTTGGGAAAGGAGTCGACTACTAGTTCTTATGAAGAAAGTAAGCAAAACAAAAAGTCCTCTTGTTGCAAAGATTGGAAAACAAAGCTTAAAATCGAGTTGTGAATACATTCAAGCCAACGTTGCAACATTTTTACCGATTTTTCTATACTTGCCTATTCTTTTTACCACAGAAATTTAATATTCATACCATTGGCATACATGTTATATCTTACTACATCTCATAGTGGTATAAAAGATATGATATTTTTTTTAAGCCAGTCAATGGGCAACTAAGAAAAATATTACAGTGCATGGTAAAAAGTGCGATGAGAATATATTTCTATTATAGAGAAATATATTATCAAAGTGATTGTCATACAGCAAACACAATATTCCAAATTCAAAATGTTCGCTCATTTTAAAATTATTCCTTTGTCAAAGTTAATAGAATCTCTGTGATTTTTACACTGTAATCAGGAAGCTATTCACAAGGAAAAAGTAAAGCAGAATTTTCTCAAAGAGCCTGTTTTACAATATATTCTTTCGTATCTTTGGGGTTTCCGTAAACATTTTACCGTTGTCTTTGATTATAAATAATTTTGTTTTTATTTTTTTTTTTTTTTCAAATTTTGTATTTAATTTTTTTTTTTTTGTTAAAAACGTTTTTATTTTATACCATATATTTGTATTTTACTTATTGGCCTCATATCGCATTTCCCTTCAATATTGTGTAAAAAATTATATGAAAAATGTTTCTATATTTTACATTAGAATATCATAAGTTGTATGTACATTATATCTATATATTTTAGTTATAAGATTCTAAATTTTTAAATTATATATTTTCCTTCTGCAACATATTTAAAACATTGCTTATGTTTCTTTTTTCGCAAGAGAATTTTACATTGTGTTCAAAATCGATTACAAAACATTCAAGTCAGTATTGATTCAAAAGCTATAGGGCAGCTCCAGTTTTCTTTTACACATTTTGATTTGCTCATCAATCCAGCTTTAAGCGAGAAAAAAAACGGCAATTTAAATTAAAATCTATAATTGTTTCATACTTTTTTATGTGATCATTCTAAAACTTAAATGTTATATGAAATAAAACTGATAATATTACATAGCTGGAATAAAATGTCATCAATTTAATACAAATAGTCTTCATTTCAGTTTACAATGCAAATAATGTCCCAACACATATGTACATTTTGATTTTTTTTATTCCAATGTTTTAAACTGTTTTCTATCCACTAAAAATAAGAAAAGTCTGTCTATAAATTCTAAATTGGAATGAAAACGAGTTATGAGTTATGTTCATATTATGGATTAAATCGGAAGCAAATAAAACATATAATTTCATATAGAAATAAGCAATTCATTTGCATAAACATAAAATGAAAAAGAAATAAAAATAATGTTCGAGTTTAATAAAAAATAAGTATGATGAAAATAAAATAATTTTACTTGTTTGGAGGCAATTGATAAATTCTGTTCATAATGTAAGTATAAGAAACTCTAAACCAAGCCTACAAAAGAAAAGTCTAAAGCCAAGAAACTCTAAAGCAAACCGACAAAATAAAAGTCTTGATCGCAGGTTATATTTTTTGCAGAAGCAGCAATCATGAGGAAAGATCTCAAACGCCAGGTCGAAAAAACACCAACAAAACTAGTATGTTATTACAAAAAAGTACGGAAACCCAACAAATGTCTGATACTTCTCGTACACTTTTGGTATGAAAAGTTCTGTTTTTATCATCTTATTTATCGCAGACAAAGTTCCATACAAAAAATTAGAGCTCTATGCATTTGACGATCACTCAATACTAAAGATTTAATTTTTAGTTTTTTTTTGTTTTTGTACTTTTAATACGAATTTCCAAAATCTCTTTCCGAACACCTTTATGTTACATCATATTCAGAACAATTTGGTACTTTCATACGCTTTTTTATACCCTCCATCTCGTTTGTAATATCCCTAAATATTCGTCGTAGACCCCATAAATGATATATATTCACAACCAGCATAAAATTCTAAGTCGATCTAACGATGTCTGTCTGTTGAAATTGCGATACAGCCCACATTATTTGACGTAGAGCGTCAATAGCAGAGCAATTTGTATTATGTCTAGGATTTGATGATTTTTGCCACATTTTTTCACGGATTTGTCTAAAAATTGGTATTTGTGGGTCATAATGGGTTCTAAACTTCCTTTACCCTAAGGTGGAGGGTATTAAATGTTTTTTTACTTGTTTACTTTCCAATTAGCGAAAACCAGTTTGTAGACCCAAATTATAGACTTATACACTTAAAAGCAGAACACAAATAACAGATTTAGTTATTTTCAACTGTCACTTCCATAGACCTAAAATGAAATCCACTCGATTTCAAAGTCGACAATGTAGTAAGTGTAAAATACATGTGAAATTCTTAGATTTGTCTCCTCTCGATCACCCAATATTTTGTACTTTTTTGTAACTGTTTTATTTCCAAAATGCCTTTTTGTAACCTTCTAACCCAATTTGCAAAAAATCCAGCCTTGTCACACCCATCATGACAGTCAGTCTTTAATAAGTATATATGAGATGACCAGGTTCTTTCATTTAATGCTGAATCATTCTGCCAAATTATTTCTTTCATTTATAAACAAATAACGAGAGGAAATAATCTATCTACATTAATACTTGCGGAATTAAATATTTGATTTTGCTAAATGACATTTCTTACTCGAACAAAATATAATTTTTTTTGGTCATCTTGAAAAGTACAAAATACACTTTATAAGATAAGTATAATACAGGATAGACCAAATTTCACAATTAACCAGACGAGTTTCACATTTTTTCAATACTCAATATAAGCAATGCTATAAACACCGATGTTCCTGTTTTTATAAAGGCACTAGGTTAAGTTAAAGGCGGAGTGGGTTTCGAAGGAATGGGCCAATATTGTTCATTTCGTATCGGACCTAAATAAATATGATTGCGACGTGCCAGCATTGGATTATATAGGTTGATTCAATGATTTTATATGAGATATGTGATAATTTGTAGAAAATGTTAAAATGTGCGTGAGGTACCATGTATAGTCGACCCTCATACTTCATCTGATGCAGCTAAAAATATTGGTATAGGCAAAATTACAAGAAAATCAAACATTTATATTGTTCATTTCAATCATAAATTCCATATTTATAAATTCCACATTCATCTCATGTTTCTGGTTGAGAGATATATATTTAGGTACAGCAAGTTGTAAAGTATTTAAAATTGTGACTCTTTGTGGGTGAAGTAACAGGGGTACGCAGGTATATATCATTTGTGTTAGCAAAAATGTTTGTATATGTGAAACTTGAAGAGGGTTGAATTCTTATTTCGCATTCTTTGAGCGTTTTGTTTATATGGGACAGGTAGCAGAAGATATGGTCCATCTTTATAACAGATCTTGTGTTAATCAATATATTGAGATGTGCCAATTCTGGATGGAATCGGATGTTAATTTCGTGTTTTAGAACATGAATATTCAAAATGTTGATCCTTTGTGGCGGATGTACCAGAAGGAGTGGATCGATAATCCCATCTACCTAGCAGATCTTGTGTTAGTATAAATAATGGCATGTGTGAAATATGAAGAGAACAGGATGCTTATTTCGGATTTTTATATTCGTTTTGGTTATTCAAAACTTTGACCCTTTGTGGAGGTGGTACCAGAAGAAATTGTGCGATCTCAACCATCTTTATAACAGACCTTGTGTTGATAGAAATATCATATGAGTTACAATTATTCAAAATGTTGACCCTTTGTGTGGGAGGTACTTCATGGAGTGGACCGATATTGTCCATTTTCGCACCTTACTGACGTAAATATTAGGATTTGTAAAGTTGGAGCAAAATCGGATTATTCTTTCTTTTTCTGTGCAGTAAAATATTTTTTTTTTAAATTTCGACCTTTAATAAAAAATAACCGTTCTAAAGTCAGAATAAGAGAGAGAGACTCATATCTGAAATTTATGGTAAAAATTCAATGACAAAATATAAAAAAAAATTCATAAAATATAATAATCGAGATATAATCTATGAAAATAGAACAAGTAAAGGGCAGGAGGATTGAACTGTTATTGCCTTCCATCATTTGGAGAGTAATACTACTACTATAATAATAATGCAGATCTTTTTCATTTCAATCACACTGTGCAAGGAAAATCAGAAATAACAAAAATCACATCGAATAATGGTCCCGTTGTGAATAATCCAACTTATGATAGTTCACAAACACCAACCCTGATGTAGCATTAAAAACGCTAAATTAGCCACAGTTAATTCTGCAGATAGCAAACTATTATTAAAATAGAGGAGGCTCATGTATTTTATTTAGTTGTACTCGGTATCTCAAAGCGATCACAACAGCCAACGCACAAAACGTTTAATCTGTTCAAATTACTGTCACAATGGGAAAACTTATTTTATACGGAATGGATATAAGCCCACCAGTGCGGGCTTGTTTGCTCACATTGAAAGCCCTGAATTTACCCTACGAATACATAGTGGTAAATTTGATGACCGGAGAGCATTTATCGGAGGATTTCTTGAAAAAGAACCCCCAACACACAGTGCCTACACTGGAAGACGATGGTCATTTCATTTGGGATTCTCATGCCATTATGGCGTATTTAGTTAGTAAATATGGCAAGGATGACTCGCTGTATCCAAAGGATCTACTTAAACGAGCTGTTGTTGATCAGCGTATGTATTTCGATGCTGGTGTCCTATACCAAGACGGCCTACGCAGCATTACACTTCCAATCTGGTTGAGAAATCAAACACAGATACCACAACATCGAATTGATGTTATTGTGGAGGGTTATGAATTTCTCGAGTCATTCCTTAAGGATAACAAATACATTGCCGGAGATCATTTAACTATTGCCGACTTTAGTATTGTATCAACTGTAAGCTCATTGCTGATTTTTTCTGAAATCGATGAAGTGAAGTTCCCTAAACTAAGTGCTTGGTTGAAGAGTATCGAGTCATTGCCTTACTATGAAGGAGCCAATGGGGCAGGTGCTAAGCAATATACGGAAATTCTTAAATCTAAGAACTGTACAATTATACCTTAAATAAATTAAACAACAAGAAAATTAATCACACAATTGATTTTTACGAAAATGGAGTATATATTTTTTATTTGGAGTCAAAAAAGACTTTTGGGAGAGAGAGAGAGTTGGCGGGAATTTTAGAATTTTCCTAAATAAAATGTGTATATGATAGCAATTCGCATAAAAATTACTCAGTAACTAGTACTGAGGAAAAATTATCCTTAAAAATGTATGCCTCAGAATTATCCAGTAAGGAACAGTAAAAAGACGGGCGGGTCGACTATATGATACCCTACACCACTATGCATATTTAGTAAAAAATAAAAAAAATTATCTGAGCCGAGTTGCACAAAATGGAAACGTACGTTCCGAAAATCACTTCATTTGGGGTGATATTAGCCATTATTTGCACAATAAACCTGAAATCGGATTAAGGAGCTTTATCAGATCTTAGCCTCGATAAAATTTGGCAAAGGTATTTCCGAGCTTTATAAGATATATGGTACCAAATGTCATTGTTGTCGAATGCATATTACAAATGTGAAGGACTTTAACACCAAATCGGATGAAACATATACATGGAATAGCTATATCTGAACAGATTTTTCCAAAGTTGATTTACTTGCTTTTGGACTGAATTCGGTGGGATGTACAAAATTCAGGTCATTTGGACTGATTTTCGGCATTTGGTGCCCAATTAACCCGAAATCGGTTAAAGATATGTATGGGAGCTATATCCAAATCTGATCTGATTATCACCAATTTCAATAGGGATCGTCTTTAGGCCAAACAAGTAATGTTTGGAAAATTTCATCTCAATCGGATAATTAATGTGACCTATATTTTGTTCACAAGAATACATGGACAGACGGACTGACATGCATAAATCGACTCTGAAATAATCGATTTATGCAATTTAATGCATAATTATACCCTCCACCTTGGAAAGGAGTGTATATCAAATGTGTCATTTCGTTTGTAACATCTCTAAATATTCATCATAAACCAAATCACGATACAACCCTCAATATTTGACGTAGAACTTGTATTGTGTCTAGGATGGTTGGTAGTAAACGGTCCACGTTTTTGTCTAGCCACATATAACGGTACCTCCCGATATTCGGTATTTTAATGGTTTTAGTTACTTTTTGCCAGTCTGGATTATGGAAAATACCAAGTAAAGTTGAAAGTACTCGTTTTTAGATCAAACCCCCAAATGAGTTCTGGGTATTTAGGCCAAATGTTATTAAGGCCCTTATACTACTTTTCTGCTTAAATATCCCTCGTATTTGGATCTGCAAAATTGCCGAAGACACTATATACTGAAAACACAGGGATTCCAAGG